GGAGATCAATTACTCCTATTGTGACATCAATCCATCATCCTTCTTCTACCCAATCAAGTAGTTCAGCAAAACTCAAATGCAGAGGTTGGAAGAAATACTCAGAATCAGAAGGACCTTTATTGCCAAGTAGTGTTTTACACGGATGAAGAATTTGCTTTGGTGACAAGGTGACAAACATACAGTTGACATAAATGTAGAAATATATAAATATGGAATAAACAAATGTGATTTATATACAACAGAAGAGGATATTGTGTGTATAAATATATAAATTGAAAAAATATAAAAATATAGAACACAATATTAACAATTAACAACAAATATGTGCAATGTGCCAGGTTTGTGTATGATATGAAAGAAGTAATATTTAGACGTGCGGAGGCATTTATTTGAGGCTACAGATGGGAAGAAACTGTTTTTGTGGCGAGAGGTTTTGGTCCTGATGGACCGCAGCCTCCTGCCAGAGGGGAGAGTCTGAAACAGTTTGTGTTCGGGGTGGGAGGAGTCAGCTGCCATCTTTCCTGCTCGCCTCAGAGTCCTGGAGGCGTACAGGTCCTGAAGAGAAGGAAGATTGCAGCCAATCACCTTCTCTGCAGAGCGAATGATGCGCTGCAGCCTGCCCTTGTCCCTGGCAGTGGCAGCAGCGTACCAGATGGTGATGGAGGAGGTGAGGACGGACTCAATGATGGCGGTGTAGAAGTGCACCATCATTGTCTTTAGTAGGCTGAACTTCTTCAGCTGCCGCAGGAAGTACATCCTCTGCTGGGCCTTCTTGGTGATGGAGGTGATGTTCAGCTCCCACTTGAGGAGGGAGATGATGGTGCCCAGGAAGCGGAAGGAGTCCACAGTGGTGACTGGGGAGGCACTCTTCCTGAAGGCCACGACCATCTCCACGGTCTTCAGAGCGGTGAGCTCCAGACTGTTCTGGCTGCACCAGGTCACCAGATGGTCGATCTCCCACCTGTAGGCGGACTCATCCCCACCAGAGATGAGCCCAATGAGGGTGGTGTCATCTGCAAACTTCAGGAGCTTGACAGACTGGTGACTGGAGGTGCAGCTGTTGGTGTACAGGGAGAAGAGCAGAGGGGAAAGAACGCAGCCTTGAGGGGAACCGGTGCTGATGGTCCTGGAATCAGAGACATGTTTTCGCAGCTTCACGTGCTGCTTCCTGTCCGTCAGGAAGTCAGTGATCCACCTGCAGGTGGAGTCAGGCACGTTCAGCTGAGAGAGAGCTTGTCCTGCAGCAGGGCCGGGATGATGGTGTTGAAAGCAGAGCTGAAATCCACAAACAGGAGGATGTGGATGTAGGAAGAGCTGGAGGATGACGTGAAGGGCCATGTTTACTGCATCATCTACAGACCTGTTGGCTCTGTAGGCAAACTTACTTTTAAATTTACTCAAATAAAATAGCAATACCACAAATTCAATATGTTTTTTAATAATTTTTTTTAAGTAAAAGTATTAGCATCAGAGTGTACTTATAGTACCAAAAGTAAAAGTATCCATTTCAGAATAATATACGTCATGTTATCGTTGATAGAAAATAATGTACATATCATTTTATTGTTGCAGCTGGTAAAGGTGGGGCAAGTTTTAACTACACAGTAGAGGAGGCTACACTCTGCTTGTTACAAACACAGGGACACCCAGCAGCACTCATCCTCCTCAGCTAAAGATCATGTATTTGCGTGTAGTCAAATACAGTGAATGGCACACAGGATTGAGTGACGGTGGATGTAGAGGGTCACCAGCCAAGGACAGCATGCCTGTCCCTCCATAAAGACAAGTCTACTCTTCGTTTATCCTACCAGGCTGAAAAAGACATCTGTAATTGCACTCCCTGTTGTTGTCAAAGTCACCGCTGCGCTGCATTTCTTTGCAAGAGGGTCATTCCAGCATTCCCTATTAGACGTGTGTCACAATCAACCATAAATTTGCCATACACGCACCCATCTACCTAATCTCCGCAACACAATCTTTCGTGCCTTCTGGCTCTGCCATCCCTACACATGAAGCAAAGTTAGTCCCAGCTGTTCTCATCTGTGACACCATGGTGGTGGAACGAGCAGAGGGGGCCCTCTCTAACTAAACTCTTGTAAACTCATTCCTCTTCCAAGAATATTTAGTTCATGTTACGCCCAAAAAAAACACCTATGATTAATTAAGAGACTAAATACAACCCGCCTTGCTTTGCGTCCAGATTATGCAACTTATAACTATCAGGTAGAGTTGGACACGCTCTAAATGCTCTTGAGCCAAATTCAAAGTACAGCTGAGGATTTTGAGAATTTGGTCATAAACCCAAATATTGGACAAATTCACATTTTCACCTGGTGATGGCGCTAGATGAAGAGTCCCGGCGTCACAAAAGTTTTTATCCTGAGGTGAACATGAATGTGTGGATCAAATTCTATGACAAGCCAACTAATGGTTCGTGTCACGTGACATTAAACACGTGGTTAATGTTGTGAAACGGTCGTGGTTTGGGCAACAAAACTACTTAGGTTCAGGAAAACGTCATGGTTTGGGTTAAAGTAAGTACAATATGTGAATGGCGTGATTGAGGTCAGTAACGCTATTTAACTTAAAACTCCAAATAACTCAACCTTTACTTGGTTTTGTAATGGGACTCAAACTGAAAGTAAGCCTGGGGTTTGACCCATCCTGCCTTCTAATATGGACTTTCTGCCTATTGAGAATACGACACCAGACTTCCTCCTTTTCTACCGTTGCACGGCCACTAGAGGTCGCGGCCACAAAAATAGTAAATATGGGTCGTTTATTCGTTGTTTTTCTAGTGAGGACGGTCTCAACATTTCACAGCATTAGCAAAAACTTTGACCTGCTGGTGGAAAAAGTCAGAGGATCACTAAAGTCAGTAAGATTCATCCTCTGGGGATCATGAGTGTCCACAATATCTTGGTGATCCATCCAATAGTCGCTGAGATATTTTAGTCTGGACCAAAGTGGAAGACGGTCATTCCAACCGACATGACCTTCTGTAGAGCGTGGCTAAAAATGATAGCATCGGTTGTTCTTCTTCTTTTTCCTGAACCTTAAACAAGTAGTTTTAGCTGCCAGCTGCCTAGAGATCAGAAAGCCTCTCATGAATGTAGAAATGGTCATAAAGTTTGTTTTGAAAGACAAGTTTCCTATTTTGTCTTCTAATATTTTGAATCTTTGAAAAATAAGATAAAAATGATTGCGTATTGAGCAACAACAAAAAAGCTAGATGATTTAAAGAGCCTCCCGTGTAAGTACTGTCACACATTGCAGGAAGCAGTCTTGTTCAGGTAAATTCTGCCTGAGAAGCATCTGAAGCACAGCAAGAATGCATTTCTTTCATAACTCGCAGTGTAACGGTATCCACTTGGAAAATCTGCTGTCCTGCCTACCTGAAATCATGCCCGCATATTTTTATATCACAAGTGTTAATATGAGAGGGCCATCTGCGGCCAGAGAAAGGTCTGGAAGCATGTCTCAGGGCTGCTCCGTTGCTCAGATCCACAATCCAAGATGAAACGCTAACCGGGCCAGCCGGCTATTGCGTGATATTTATAGACGGCAGAAAGGCGAGCTTGCTAAGCACTTTATTTGGAGCAATAGTTAAAAGTGATATCAAAGTTTGACTGGTAGTTTCTCTCTTTTTAATTTGTTTGTGAACTCACAGGAGTCTGGACGCTGCTGGTTGGTTGCAACCTTTGTTTTCAATATTCAGGGAAATCCAAGATGGCCTTTTTTAAGCAGCTTTGCTGTGTTGTTGTTTTTTTTAATGCCCTGTAAAGTTATCAATGAGGAACTTTTACCACAATTAAGACAACGCTGTTCATCAGAGGGGTAAAAGCCGCCAGCTGTTGACTCGGATCATCGCAACACTTCGGTTCTTGTGATCCATTGTCTAAATTCAGGTAACAGGGAACCGGCTGCTTAGATATATCTAAAAGTAACCGGTAACAGCAGACATTAGCAACATTTAGGACTTTATTTCAGTCTACTGAGGATTAAATTACATTTTCATAGGAGTTACTTATTTCAGGCCCATCACAACTGGATAAAAAAAAGCTTTAAAATGGTCATCAGACTTGGTTCTTCATTAGCATGCCTACCAACCTCTAGCCTCGTCAGGTGTCAGGCAGCTGTGGAGAAGGAGGCTGTGCTGGTAATTTCCTCAGGGGAAACCTCTCTGTGCTGAAACTCCACAGCTGAAATACGTAAGCGGAGGCGACTGCGAGGAGACGCTGGGGTTTGAGTTCTTGCCAACTTTAAAGGATGAGTCCTTCGTGAGATACCTGAGGCGTTCCTGTTTCTGATGTTGACTCAGTTAATAAGCCCTTTTTTTTTGACACATTCCACAAAGGACCAACAAAAAAACAGCTGACAAATCACGAAATGTGATGCAAACTACCCGCAAGAATGCAAAGCTGAAGCTGGCGTCCGATTTGTGACTTTTCAAAAATAACTGAAAGGTTTTCTGGACTCTCTCCATAAATCTAGTCCAAGTTTGACAAGTTTAACTAAAACAGGTTTTGATCCAGAACTAGATTTCTCTGTTTTAATGCTGCCTACACAGGGAAAACCAGCCAATCATCCTTTTTTTTATTTGTTAAAAACAACCTTAAGGCTGTAAATATGATTCCTAGAACATGTTTGACCATTTAAAGTGGAGCAGAGAATCAACAGATTTTCCTCTTAACCTGTGAACTGGAAGTCAGCCTGAGCTAGAGATTTCAGACGGATAATCACAAGACACAAACAGCCCCCAAATCATATAATCGACTGTACTGTCACATTGCTTTTATCAGTCTCACCTTCATCTGGCTAAACATTTGGACTCTGGCGGTTTTATAGTCCTTTTCCGCCCTTTTATAGCGTCCGGGTGGCACAGTCCTAAAGTCATATCAGGCTCCTCCTTGGCGATGCCTGATTTACAGGCAGACGATGATGATATTTCTGGAGCTTGCCGGCCGATTGGTCTAAGGATCCTGCATTTCCATAAACAGGAGCTCCATATCCATGTCCAAGCCCTCATATATAAACACCCCAGGGATGATTTCTTCCCACTGCCCCTGGCCACTGCTGCCTTCCTCTTCTGTCTCGTCCTAGGTGAGGCCAGTTTTTTCCTCCTCCACTACCTCTCTGCATGCCTCAAGTGGAGCTGGTAAACAGATACAAAGCAGCTGAGTGGAGTCAGTTAGTCTTTTTTGGCGAGTCCTGATGGTGAAGTGCTAAAGTGATGAAGTCCTGACCTCTGGGGTTTGTTAATAAGTGAAGAGAAATGTGATCCAGGGTGAAGCAGAGGGCTGAATACTGCGGGAGAAGATCTGAAGATTGGGTGTGGAAACAACGCTGCACAGAGATTTTAACGAACCGGGGACGTGAGATGCTGATTAGTTTGCTTATAACTTCTGCTAAAGATTTATATTTGTACATTTCTCATTTTTGAAGCATTTGGCTGTTTTGGAAAGTTTAGAAATTTGATAGATTCTAAGACTGATTGCAAGATTTCATTGTGTTTCTTTTGGAATCGTTTGTAAAGTTTAGAAATTAGGTTTCTGATATCTGCTCTTTGGATGCTCGGTATCTTTCGGGGTTTTGAGAGAAGATGATGAGATTTTATTGTTTTAAAAAGTATGCTGCAAAAATATGAATGTAAGCAGGTGGTTTGGTGTCAACTGGTGAAATTTCTATCCCGGTTCGGTTTGTCTTCTTGTTTCAGAAATTTTCTTAAAATTTTGAGTCAGTGTCTTAAAAGAGAGAGATTGATTAAATGGTATAAAAAAAGTTGAGTTTTAGTGGAAGCAGTTAAACTAGCGTCTCATTGCTTGGACTTACTCACACAATTATTTTCTTATGACAAAGCTTTTGGCTGGTTTGGAGTTTAGAAATGTCAACCCTGCATTTTTTTTTTTTTTTTTTTTTTTTTACAGTGCATTGTCATTTCATAGCATTTGATTTCAAAGGATTTGATATCTTTTCCCTGCACCTGCATTTTTTGAGCTTTCTTCTGGATATTTAGGAGATATTGTTAATCTGAGAAAAAAACAAAACATTTTCATTATTTTCAGTGTTTGTACACTGTAAATGGAAGTTTTGTTAAGTCCTAAGTCTGCATGTGTGGTGAGATCTTTCAAGTTTGTTGGAAAGATCCTGACTTAATGAGATGGAAACTAAAACCTTGAATTATTTATAGTAAATAAATAACTTGAAATTTGATTCTGGGACTGGGCGACTTGTTAAGACAGATTTGTTCTTGCAATGTGTGACTGGTTGTGTATTGACAGCCGGGGGTGTTGGAAGCTAACACGCCGCCGCAGCACATTTCTTCTCTGCGAAAGGAATTGCAGTGTTAACTCCCAGAGGATATTTAGTTTTGAACACCTGTAAAGGAGCTTATTGGGGCGTCAGAGCCGACACTTGACCCCAAACTCCAAACTTAGCTCTGTCACCACTCAGCTGCTCATCAACTGTTTTTAATAGATCACATTTCATACAAAGGATGGTCTCTGGTATTTAAGCAGAGAGCAGATAACCGCATCGTTTATTCTCCCTCGTCTCAGTGAGTTTTTCTTCTGTTTCACAGGTTGTGAAGAAAAGAAACCGCCAACATGTCTGAGTAAGTGTTGCTTCTCGATTATTATTGATTGATTTTTAATGCTGGAAAAAGATATTTTACTGAAAAAAAAAATCGTTTTCAGAGTATTTTTTCAATCCAACCCCAAAAATCACAGTGTTAAAATGTTTGCAAGTAACATTCCTGCTTTCAAAGTTTGTATTTAAGTTAAGAAGTCTGGGGAATGTAGGCCTTTTATATTTGTTGGAGAAGAAAAAGAAAGATAGGAAAGAATGAAATAAGGATGGAAATAAAGAAAAATAAGAAGGAAAGACACAAGGTAAGAAAATTAAATGACAGAAATTAATGAAGAAGGAAAGAAAGAAGGTGGGAAGGAAGTACAGAAAGACATGAAAGAAGGAAGAAAAGATGGTGAGAAGGAAATGAGGAAAGAAAGCGTAAGGACTGAAAGATGTAAAACCTGAACTTCCACCTCCACTAACATCATGATACTTTAATGAAGAACAGATCACTAAACATCAATGAAAAGAGAAAATAACCGTTTATTGAATGAGCGTATTTAAAGACGATGTTGTTTGTGATCTTTACAGAAAAAAGATGACCTCGAGCCGCAAGCATCATCTGAAGGTACGACCGAGTCTGTTGTTCATTTTCTATCTGAGCTCGATCGATTGGTATCCAGCGACCAATGGATATGTTAATAATCATATGTTATGAAGACGTTTCTGACTAAAGGGAAGCACAGAACATTTAGAGTCATTGTCAGGAAGTTATTACTCTGCTGAACCAACACATTTGTTTGGTTAAGGACCAATAAGTCACTTTTTAAATCACTGTAATGGTGCGTAGTTTTATAAGAATGCAAATGTTTTAATTTCTGTTGCAGAAAATTCAGCCTGTCAAACATATTACTCTAGGTGATTTTTCTTTACAGTTGTGATGATTGATTTTTTTGTGGCAGTACTGCAGTTAATGACCGCTGTTGTTTATCTGTTAGTGAAGTGTTGGATTTGTGTTTTGGGCAGAAAGTCTGCTGTTGGCTGTCACAGGAGAGGACTGTTCATATTGTCTGATTTCATATTGAGCTGCTCATGTTCATGTTCAGCCCAGCTGTCAGAGCAGGCAGAGACAGCTGAGGCAGTTTATAGGTCTGAGGCGCCACCTGCTGGTCAAAACTGTCAAACACGCAAACTCACAACATCAAGCTTCACCTTCAGCGAAACTACAAATTCACCATGGACAGGTGCCAATAATAATAAGTACAAAGAAACATAAACTGCACACTGCCGTGAATTCAATAAATATATGAGGACAAAATAAAAGGAGTAACTTTACAGAAAGCTAGGCAACACGATCCCACTCATATTTCAAAAAAAAAAAAAAAACTGATTTTATTAATTTTTTACTAAAAGATTGAAAAGACAAATTCTATTCTAAAAGGTTCAAATGATTGAAGGAGCCTTAAGAACTTGTATGTATGTGGTATTTTCCCAATAAAATTATTAATTTGACAATCTCTTTATTTTATTTTATCTTCATAGTACAGTATTAAATCTTTGGCTTTGAGTTTAAATGAATGGTTTCGCACCATGACTTTGGTGTAAAGCTGGGGTAAGCCGTGTATTTCAGAAGCATTTTTGTTGTGTTAGTTGAAAATCTTTTTAAATCCCTACAGCAATCAGTAAATCAAATGCTCTGACACAAAATGAAAGATATCCGGCATCTGTGGCTGTCGCAGGACTGTAAATAGTCCAGCCAATGAATGAAACCGGGGAAAAAAGAAAGGAATACTTGAAAGGCGCTCGACCTCATGTCCCCTGGTTTTGTTTTTTTCTGTTGCACTGCCTCAGCTGTGATTTCAGTCACAGAGTTTATTTGGCTCATCAGTAGAGAAATTTATTCTGGAATTAGAAGAATTACTATTATTATTACGCAGTTTGAGCCGCAGCACGGCTGTCAGCTGCAGAAAATGTTCAGTAAATACTAAAAAGATCTAAATCTAAATGTGGTCTAAATGTTTTGGCATGTTTTGAGTTATTTTTTCATGGTGATTTAGATGATAAAGTGCCAGCTGGTGTCTGTGATGATGGAACATCATCAGCTGGAAGCTTTGACTGGATCATATGTTTGTTGATAAGTGAATTATTTTCTATCGTCTTGTTTTATCATTGTTAGTGATTCAGTGTTTTAACTCTTACTGGCTCAGGAGCAGGAGGTCGATGTCAATTGTGATGTTGTTAAGTTGAATTAAATGAAGTAGAATATTCTTTGATTTACTTTCATCAAGATAAAAAGCAGCAAGCAGGAGTGCAGAAGAAAAATACTAAAAATAAACACTAACCTATTGTAAACGTGCTGAATTTTACATATGAAAAACATCTTTTCATCATCTGTTTGCATTTTAGTGCAAAGATCACAACAAAGCTTTTACCTTGAAATCCCCACAAATAAGCCTTAAACCTGCCAAACGACTGAATAAAACCATTTCAAGAACCTTTACTGCAGTGTTTTGTTGTATTGACTGTCGACTCTCGCTCGATCTGTCCTGCAGAGTTTGATGCTGTCGATCGCGGCAAACTGGATTGAACAGGAGAAAAAGGACCTCACCGTCGCCAAGGCAGCCTACATGGCAGAACATTGCCCCGCCCCCTCCCTGAGCGGCGACCAGGCCGCCCTCATGGTGAGAGAATCAATTTAGAGTTGCTGGATGTGCTGGAGACAAAAAGCACTCATCATTTCTTGACTGGAATTATCCTAAACGTGAGCTATTTAGCCTATTATCCCAAAAACCTGACCTGACTGACCTTCTTGATCTCATTTATGTTGATACTTTTATTTGACTAAAATTTGTTAATAAACAAAAAGTACAGCTTAGTTTTGCAGGTCTTTGGTCATTAAATAAAGTATTTTGGCATGATGATGGCGCTAAATGAAAAATGAAGGGTTTACCAAAGTGATTCTGAGGGGAACATGAATATCTAAACCACATTTCAACACAATTCATCCAATACTCAGATATATTTCTGTCTCGAGCAAAGTGGTGGACCAACAGTGTGACACTGCCTGAAGATAGTTTAATATTTGACGTTCATCTGTTTTCACGGTCAGTTTTTCCTTAATTATGCACATCGCAAGTCAGAAACTTCAATAGCTGCCACATTTATGAACACACTGACATCAAGTTACCTCTTTTCCCTCAAAAGGGTACATGACCAACGACAAGCATTTTTACCCTCTTAAGGACACATCCGCACTTTTCTTTCTCTGTGTGTATGCAATTATAACCCTTATGCATTTTATTTGTACCTCTAGCAACATGATGTGCTTCAATTCTTTTATTGCTCAGTTACTGCTATTTTTGCTTCTTTTTGTCTAAAAGTTTAGTGTTGAACATTTTAAAATTGGAGTTCCCATCTCCCACAGAAACCTCTGCTCTGAACTGTCTGAAAACCGCACGTTTTGTAGTCCAGGCTTTTCATCCGCTGTGACGTCACAAGGAAACACGTGTCATAATGCGTGCCTAGCGGTTAGTCCGACACGCCCTCAAAAACACTGTGGAAAAACACTGAGCTGCAGCACACAGCTCTCCTCGCCCTTCCAAACACTAGCTACCCTCCAGGCAGTCAGGAAGTTGTTCCTGTCATGTAGAGACTAGCTCGGTTAAAAAAAATTAATAACTCACCACTCTGAAACTCTTGCTCCAGTCCATGTTGCCAAGCTGGTAAGGGGAACATATACAGCTGAACCGATGCCTAACTCTGCTCCTGATTGGCTAGTAGTCCTTAACTAGGAACTGGGCATGTGTAACTCCCAGCAAAGATCTTGTAGAGACAAGATGCATCACTCCATAGCTAAAATGGAGCATTCAACACAGGGTGAAAAGAGGAGCTGCAATAATGTGCAGTCATTTTTGAAAATGAAACCATGTAAACCTGTTCTGGTACAACCCTTAAATAAAATGATGAACCTGGAAATGAGCATAATGTGACCTCTTTAAAATAAATAAACACCAAATGGAGTTTGTTTACCTTATTTTGCAAACAAAAAAAACATTGAATAACAGCTTGGATGAAGGGATTTTTTTTCTTAATGTATTGATAGCTTATTTATAGTCAAGCTATATATGGATTTTTTAACTTTTACTTGAGTAAGTAAACATCACATCTGTCTGTGTCTTTAGGAAACCTGCAAAAAGCTGCACTCCCTCCTCGACAAAGTGGATGAAGAGAGGTACGACCTGGAGGTCAAAGTGGGCAAGGCTAATAAAGAGGTACACCTCCTCCATCTTTTCTCAAAACACCTGCAAAGGTTTCCTGAGCCTTTAATCTCTCAGTGTGGTTCTGGTGCTAACGATGCACTTTTCCACGCATTTTGTGAGATGCGTATGCCTGGTGCACGCTAGAGGATTTTCAAATCTTAACGTGGAATACCACACACATAACGACAGAATTTTAATCATACTTTTAATCTCAAGAACGCAGCAGACGATTCACTCAGACACAGAACCACACTCTCTGCGTTTATACTGAGCGGTTTTAGAGTGGTGGTGGTTCCGAGGCCTCGGGATCTCACAGAAACGTGATCTAATGTGACTTCAGACATAAAAAAAATGGAGGCAGACTGTCGTCGTCAGCAGGTTGCACTTAATATAGAGAATATAACTGTGGATGAACTGTAGGCTGAGAAGAGGGAATCAGTAGCGCAAACAAATACACAACACGTTGGTACGCTTACCTCAGCTCGCTCTCGTTGGCTGTTCTGGGTTTCTGATCGGAGGCACCCCGATTTCATATCATAAATATCAAACATGTTTGTTCCTCCGATCTAGTCGGCAACCTTAAGATAAAAACCCCTCACACTACAGGATCATTTATCCGAATATCTGTTCCAACCAGTCTCAGATTGGGAACGCCCCATGATTGTCAGGAGGGTGAATCGGCCCCAAAATCGTCCCAATTATTCTCTAGTGTGCGGCCACCATTAGTCAACATTTAGTCAGCATGCAGACTGTGGTGGTGGTTGCTCAAAGCTGTTAAATTAACATGCGCCATGTCAATATTACGTGACCTTTCAAAGGTCATGCTCTCTGTTAGTTTGTTTCTTTGCCGACCAACATTACAAACATAAATGCGTCACGTAGTAGCTTTAAAATAAGACACTAAAGACCAAAATCAACATGTATTTTCTGACTTCTTGTCTGTGGTTCTGAGCTCCAACCCCACTGGTTCCCACCGAAGACGTAAATCTTTAAAAGCTCACAAAAGGCTCATTAATTTCCTTAAACAGTTGTTAGTGTAAAACTGTAATAGTGCATGTGTTGGGGACTATTTTCAGCTGCGGATGAATCCACGTGTGGCGCAGTAGTGAGTGTTTGTATGTAGGACTGAGTCAGAAATAAACTACAGTGTGCGTGCAACAATGGAGCTTGGGTTTGAGTCTGAACATGAGATTTGTGGACAAAAAGAAAAACAGAATTTCATCAGACTGATGTTTCATACTAAGCCAACGCCTCTCCTGTTGTCTGCTTTGGTCTCTCTCAGATTGAAGACCTGAAGATCAAAGTGGTCGATCTGGCCGGAGTGAAGAAACCCGCTCTGAAGAGAGTGCGTATGTCCGCTGACGCCATGCTGAAAGCTCTGCTCGGCTCCAAACACACGGTCAACATGGACCTGAGGGCCAACCTGAAGCAGGTCAAGAAGGAGGTGAAAGAGGAGGTGAGTCTTTACAGGAAGGCAACCACGCAGGTACAAAGAGCGGAAACAGATTCTGTGGACACTTTTTGACTGTGGACTGTTTGTGTCTTGCAGTCTACAGAGACGGTGGGCGACTGGCGTAAGAACATTGAGGACAAGGCTGACAGGAAGAAGATGTTCGAGACCGCCTAAAGGAATTTAACTCCACTCCTGTAGTTTCTCTGGGCTGTTGGGACTTTTTATGGAATTTTTCGTTGAATTGAAATACGTTTACTTTCATTAAATTTGTCACATTCAGCTTTGTCTGTCATTGTACATTTGTATAGTGAGTGGTTTAGATAAGAACCCCCCCCCTTAATTTCACACTTCTCTTCAATATCAGACTTTTATTCTGTAGTATTACTTCCTGTCTTTATCTGTGCTGATGTTCACTTTTGACAACTTCCTCTGCTCTTAGTGTTTTTTTTTATAATAAATGTGTTTTGTTTCCTACATACTGCTGTCATGAGGTATTCTGTCTTTGACTCAGTGACGCACAACACTGCAGACGAAGCCGATGACACACCTTAATGTAATTTGGTCTTAAAAACAGAAGGCCGACATTTAGCTTGTTTCTCTCGTTTGTTTTGGTCAAACATTAAAGAAAAACTTGAGCCGAAACAGAACTAGTGTTTGTTTTTAGGTGTATTAATATGAATTCATTGACCCAAAGTTAATATCTGCTGTAACAAAAGACGTCATCAATTAATTCAATCAGGAAGCAAAGAAACCGAAACTGAGGACTCAGTTTTACATATGAGTCACCATGCAGCAGCAGATTAAAGCTGTGTTTGAAGGTTTGAGCTCCAACGAGGTCGTGTTGTGCTCTTTGCGGTGCTGTGCACGTCAGTGAGGGTCGGAGACACAATATCCATGTTTACATATTTATATATTATATTTTTTTGTATATTTTAAGTGTTGAGGGAGCTGTGAAAAGTGAATGTTGGCCGGCTCTTGTGTAATTCACATGTAAAGAAAATTTATTTAGTTCACATGATAATTTAATTCATCTTTAATGGTCGAAACTCAAAGGTCACTTATTAGCTTTTCCAGAGCTTTCCTGCCACCTATTCTGACCCCCTCAATAATCTCATGTTTTCACATGATCAGAGTTTTGTACTTCCATGTGAAAACACCTGAGGCGAAAAACTGAACTTTGTGTTATCACAGGTATGTTTTTAAATTTAAATCTACACATATTCTTAATTTGATTTACTTGTCTTTACCAAAACAAATTTTAGTTTTTTGTTTGTTGTTTTTTACCACAAAGCTCATTTTATATTCTGTAGGAAATACAAACAGCTTAAATTTAATTTAACGCTTTAAAGTTCCAAACTTTAACAAACACTTATGGAAACACAGTGACTTTCTCCTCTTTTAGCATTTATAAACAGTTAAGGCATTTAATAATGGTTTATAACACTCTATAAAGTAGTTGTAAGCTGAAATAAGTAAATTTTTAAGTGTTTATTAATGTACAGTATTTGTCAACAATTATAATTTGTTATACTTGTTATTACTAGTTATTATTGTATATTGTTAAAACTGCATTTTAATACGATGTAATTTAATAACTATTTATACAGCAGCATCTACTTATGATGTCCACAGGAGAAGTTATAGATGTTTACAAATGCATCTGTAAACTACTACATTATGGTGTGTTATAAACCATTCAGTAAATGTTTGCATACTGTTGATTAATGCTAACAAGGGGCTTAAAGTCAAAACGTTGCCCCCTCACCTTCACATCTACCACATGGTGTCAGCAGAGGACTTTTTTTTGATCCATAGCTCTCTGCAAACATCTCAGGCTGGATTCAGTTTATTTTGGAAGGGAGAAGATAAAATCAGAAAATTCCTCCATCAAATTATTTATATCACAACAGTGCAGGAGGACAAAATACTGAGATGCTTTTATTTTTCATTGTATTTTCATTTTTTTTACTTGTGTGTTTTTTCGTTTTCTTTTTTTTAAAGAAAATACTTATTTCTAACTCTGTAGCTTTAATTGGAAACTTTGCCCAAACAGTATTTTTGTTAATAATATTATGAATATAGTTTTAGTTTAATACTAATGTTGTGTACTTGCTGACCAGCATGAACTCAACTGACTTCAAAGTTATATTTAAAAACATTTTTTTATGTCATTTACATTTTTACTAGAAGGTGTCTGTACCTTGTTTTTTACTGTTAAAAACATGATTGTTTCCTGATTGACCTTATTGATCAGAGTTGGACACTGTTCAGTCAAGCCGAAGGTGAGTGATATCAAAACATGGGTTTGAGGCCTAAGTGAAGTTGTTGATGTTTGTATTTAATGTTGTTTTTTCAAATTTGGCTCTCTTTTTAGTCGCTGTGTCCGTGAACTACAAAAGCACTGATTTCCAAACAGCATGCAACAAATCAGGTTAGTCTTTAAAGGTCTCTTATAATATATAAGTATTCAAGTTTTTATGTCTTATGACATTGTGTATGTTGAGAGTGGTAAAATGACATTTTGTTATTGTATTTAGAGTTTTCACATTTACAAAACTTTATTCAGACTTAACTATAATTGCATAATAATTACTTGTTTTGGACTAAACAACACAAAATAGCATCACGTCAATCTACAGGCTACATTATATTCGGCCTGTTTACGATTCTGAAAGCTGCAATATGTCCGACTTGATGCTCAGTAACATGAAAGTGCCTGAAAAAGCCACCGAACATGGACACCTCACATCAGCCAAAGACTGTCATTCAATTAATTAAACCATAATTTAACCAATTAAACGCAATGTTGACCATGTAACCATGTGATCAGCCCTGCAGTCACACAAGTTGTTGTTTTATTCTTAGCCAAAAGGCTAATCACTAAAATCAGGCTCTAAAATCATGGCGTATGCTGAATAATTACATTACATTTCACAAGATAGAGGTAGAGGAGACCAACAGAAAGCCAAATATGGACAGAAAGGGCAAACATATGTTCCTCTGTGGGAAAACAAGCTGGTTAACATATCACCAACATTGTTTATTACAATTATGTTATTATCCAGGACTTTAAGTCTTATTACAATAATTTGAGTTGAAGTCTTACATTCTTCTTTTCCAGATCTCTTTGTGTCCTGTCCCACTGAGGACTGCTGACCACCTCGGACAGACCATGCTGACCAGCAATGGAAGATTTACGAGGTGAGCAAGATGAAAGTATTTCAGGACCTCTTGTGTCCTGGTTGGTCTCAGAGTTCCTCATGGCCATAAAGAGGAACCTCTGAATCCCCGTCCAAGCACATAAATACGCCTACAGATTTAACTTTTTAGTCTGTGACTCCCTCTCTGTCCTTCTGTCAGCCTCTGCCGCCCTCCTCGTCGTCACTTTGTAGGTGAGTAACTCTTTTACTTTGTGGATTTAGTAGCGTGATGCTCAGTGGTAAAATACTTTAAACTTAGACAATGCACCTTTTGCAGCCTGTCTTGTTGATTATCATATTTATTTCTGTTTATATTCAAGTAATAACGTATTTACAATTTTGATGATGATCAAGGGATTTCTTCAGTTTGAAAAAACATTTTAAAAGAGGGTTTTGCACACTTAAATTAAAAACACAATTAAAATATGTCATTTTGGTTAATTACTTGACTACCCAAGGACCTAAATGTATCCATATTTCTTATTCTTCTTTAATTAATTGCATTAATTAGCATTGTGTCTTGAGTGGAGATCTTCTGTAAAGTTCTCAGAAACTTAAAATGACTCCGCAATTAAGGTAATGCAGGTCTGAATGACTTTTAAAATTGGCCCATTTTGGTAAATTAAACCTGAATCTGATTCAAAAGTAAGTCGGCTAAGATAAGAAAAATAGTCAAAGTATTAATAAAGTTTGGTTTTAAATGTTGGATTTTATTTTATTTAGATTTTACATGATTGAATGTTTGGACATGGATTTATGTCACGTCTCTGGTCATTGTCGACCTTTGACTCAGGCCGGAATTAGCGTTGACCTCGCACATAAATACCCTGGAACCTGCAGAGAGGCTGAAACGAGCATGGACTGACAGAAATTTGATTTAAAGTGGTTTAGATTCATTTTATCTAAAATTAAAATTATTATTTTGTCTTGTCTCTGAGAGTCCTTAAACATCTTTACATGAGATAATTTTCCTTTGTTATGTTTTGTTTGGCTTTACAGAAGACAGATATATTATTATTATTATATTATATATTATATAATAACATTTATCACAATACAATGTTATTATATGCTTTACAGGGCAAAGAGAAGGTAAAAAAAAACCCAGATCAAACGCTAAAAGGAAAATGAAGAAACAAACTTGAGCATGATAGTAAACTGCATATAGTGTATCAATAATTGATAAATGTTTTTTGAAACATTTGGAATTTAATTAGAACAAAATAAATTAATTTAATTCTAATTAAAAAATGTAATTAAACAACTAAAAAACTCAAAGAATTCAACTCAAATTTGATTAAATTAGGGGGAAATTTTTCAGCTTATCAAGTTAATTCAATAAATAATTTTTAAGCAGTGGCCAATTGGTGTCTTTAGCATAATTTAAGTCTTGTTTGTCTTTAATATGATGATAAATTGTTTTGGTATGGGACCATCCAAATAGTTAAATAGCCCTTATTGTTTTGTATTTTTGCACCTAACTTATGTTTGTTTATTTTTAACAGAGTCTGAAGCTAAAAAGAAACCAAGATGTCTGAGTAAGTATGAGTTTATTCTGTTCTGAAATATTACAGTGATCAATATTTCCAACTCAACTTAACATTAAAGGGTAACGTCTATATTTCAACCTGTTTTTGTGCATATGTGACTCATTGGTGCAACATTTTTTGAATTTGGTCCGGTATTGAGCGAGGATGCTGCACACGGCGACAGCGAAACAAGGCTGTAATCTCTGCAGGCGATTACGCCCCGTCACAGTACGTCCGCTAAAGTGCTTTCTATTATAAGTGTCACATTATGGACAGCATCCCTACAGAATTACAGAGTAAGATCTTTTTTTATAACCAGAAACATTTGCTATATTGCTCTCGTCAAAGCCACCAGACTCCCTTCACAAAAAAAAAAAATAATAATAATACATTTTATTTGATGGCGGCTTTCATGGCACTCAAGGTCACCTAACAACAAGAATCAAAAGTACATAGCATCATAAAAATAGCATAAAAACAAAAGGAAAAATAAAATTTAAAACATCAACAGTTAAAATGGGAATCGGTGTTGTACATTATTAAAATGAGT